TGGCGTTGTTTCGATTGCCCGGTTGTACATGGCAAGGAGTAGGGTCGCCTGTACAACCTCGTGGGTTTTCTCCCGGGCCTCCGGTTTTCTCCCACTGCTAAAGACCTCTACGCGCAAGCGAATTATTGAAATAAAATTGAACCATGTGTTAGTCCCTAAATGACCTGGTTTGTATCGAGGGGACGTTAAACCCCATCTCTCTCTCTCTCTCTCTCTCTCTCTCTCTCTGTTTGCCAGGGATTTAAAATCTCTCAAATGGCTATCAGAGACATTTAAAATGGTGTTGGTAATGTTTTAGATAGTAAGTTAATAAATGACATATATCTATATTTAATTTAGTGCAAGATAATTCTGTTGACTCGATAACCTGTCTGATAAATCATCAATCTGCTTCACAGAGTATTAGGAAAGTCTTCTAATATCTCTGTAAAAGATGTCTGCCCTCAACACATCACGTCATATCACGCGGCGTCAATCACTGGCTCAATGACGCATGCATTGTTCACATAATTCGTTACTGGTTCGAGCAGAATGGCGCCTTTTACTCATTTTAATACCCATTTACACTAAAATAGGAAATGATTTTTACCTACAAATATTTCAAACGTCTTTATTTATTTTTTTAATACATAAAAAAAAATGTTTTAGAATTTAATTTGGCGGAAGAATATGTGTGGCTCATTAAGTCGCATCTTTATCAGTGATTGTCGCGGCCTAGCGAATATTCACTGCGGATCAGTTTGATAAACCATACCACTTGAACAATCTGTCTAGGTTTTTATATGTACCCTTGTAAATCGTCTTTTATTTATTAACTGTGTCATTTTAACATTCTAGTATATGTATATCCAAAAATAGGCCCACAGCAAATATTGTTAGCCATGAGAAACATTAAAGGAGCTAAATCGCTAATATTTAGGACCTAGAAATTGACACAAATGGGTCGCAACAGATATAATAATGTAATATGAATGCATATAAACTGATTTACATTCAATCGTTTCCATTTTTACTGTAATTTCAAATCAGTTATGTTCCGCGAAATGCGCCAGAAGTCTCAATCGAATGGCAATCTCTAGCGTCTGGTTATTCCAGTCGACACCGATAGTATTTATTACACTTGCTCTCCAGATAAGAATATGAGGTCACCATTTAACATGACTTGTGAAATATGTGCTGAAACGCATTATAGTACACGATTTGTGTACCAATGGTAAAATGATTATATTGTCTTAAATATTGGATATCGGACGCCCATCTTTTTACCGGTATAGATCACAACATCAATGTTGATTTAAAATGACAAATAATTCATGTTTTCAATGTCGAAAACTGTGGATGATATTATGTTAGAGACTTAGCTACTTTAAGGCGCGGGGGGGGGGGATGGCAGAGTGATTAGCACGTGCGCGCTGTATCATAAAGTCTGTCATTGAGTCAACTGGCGGGGTTTCGATCCCCCGGCTGTACGTGACAAGGAGTAGGGCCGCCTTTCCAACCTCGTGGGTTTTCTCCGGTTCCCCAGGTTTCCTCCCACTGCTAAAGACCCCTACGCGCAAGCGAATTATCAAATAAAATTGAACCATATGTTAGTCCCGAAATGACCGTTAAACCCCATTTCTCTCTCTCTCTCTCTCTCTCTCTCTCTCCCACTTTAAGGCTCGTGGTATAAGCAGTACACTTTATATCACAAGTTCTGTTATTGAGTCAAGTTTCATGATTTCGATTCCCCGTTTGTGCACCACCCTCGGCATCCCCGGTGGTATCGTTCCGTTCTACTGATATTGAAATAAAACTATCTCTCTCTCTCTCTCCCTCTCTCTCTCTCTCTCTGTACATTACAGAAGAACAGGTGCCCGTTTGTTAGCTTTAACTCGTTGCATTGTGTAGGTGTAAACCTATTGTTGATGCTGCATACAAAACATAAGTACTCTTGAAACATGTCGACGGATTTAAATCCCACATTATTTATTATTTAAGTTACGGGTGAAGCTTTATAGGCTATGCAGTTTCGCTGTGTTTGCATCAAAAATATAAAATCTTCTTTGAAATTTAACTAGACTATCCAAATATGGAGAGAAGCGGGTCCCTGTATTATGATAATTGTTTTAATCCATAAACTAAAAAGACGAATATCTTTGGTTGAATGAGCAGGTGTCCGTTTTTAACCTGTATGCGCTACCTGTGATATAATGAATAAAGTTATTTGAATACCTGTATGTAGTAGGTGTATAGACAGCGAGTCAGTATATTATTATACATTAGATAAAGACCTACCAGTGTGGTCGTCTGTCGTGATTAACGATGTAGACACACTCACCGCCATTTTTTATAACTCAGGTGCGAATATATTAATCCACAGGTAAGCTGTTTATCAAATATTATTTTCAAAATTATGCTGAATATGCAAATACCCGGTAATCTCAATGACAATTTCAATTTGTTTCGAGGTATTGGATGAATGAAATGGGGTTTAACGTCCTACTTTTCTGAACCTACTACGCTAATGAAAACGGGCATACACCGTACACTGTTCTATCCGGCCCAATCGGAGCTGAACAATGGGAAATTAAACCCCATTTCATTTCATTTCGCTCTATCAGACAAATTTTGCCCGGAAAGCAATTGAATTCCAAACGCCAAGGGTTCTTTTACGTGCACGCCAGAGAAAGAGCAAGTTTTACGTCCACTCGAGACAAACTATGTCATTTGGGGACTAACATATGGTTAAATATTTTATGTCAACTCCTCAAACGCGAAGTGGTACCAGTTGTTTTGTTGGGGTTTTTTGTTGTTTTTTTATGTTTGTGTAGTGTGAGTGTGTGTGGGGCGGGGTGGTGGTGGTGGGGGGGGGGGTAATGGTTTAACGGGAGTGCGTGGAAATGAAATGAAATGAAATGGGGTTTAACGTCCTACTGTTCTGCTCCTAACCTGGGCTAATGAAGACGGACATACGCCATACAGTGTGCTATGAGGGAAATTTTGCCCGGGCAGAGGCGCTACGGCCTACTCTTATATCGAATTCCAACTACCAAGGGATCTTTTACGTGCACTCCAATGTGTACACGGGACCTCGGTTTTTCGTCCCATCCGAACGACTAGACAGCTGTCCTTGTCAGGCCGGAAAATCTGAATGAACTTTCTCGGCCAATGCAGGGATCGAACACCCGACCTCCAGGCTAACGAGCCAGCGTCTTACCCACTTAGCCACGTGATCCCGGGAGTGCGTGGAATGATAAGGTCTGTTATTGAGTCAAGTGATGTGGTTTCGATCCCCTGCTTGAACGTGACAAGGAGCCTGTCTAACCTTCACTATCTACTTCAACTTTCACCATATTGTTGTTCGCAGAGGGAGCGGGGTACGAATGGTTAGCACGTGAGCGCTGTATCATAAGATCTGTCATTGGTTTCGATTCCCCGGTTGTACGTGACAAGGAGTAGGATCGCCTGTCCAACCTCGTGGGTTTTCGCCGGGTCCTCCAGTTTCCTCCACCTGCTAAAGATCTCTACGCGCAAAGGGGGGGGGGTCTAGCGGTTTAACGCGTGTGCGTGGAATCACGAGGTCTGGCATTGAGTAATGGAATAAAGATTGTTTATGTTCATAAACGGAGACAACTAATAAAACTCCATAACAATTAATAATGTTGGCTAAGTGGAAGACGCTCTCTTGAGGTCCACGTGGTTCAAATATATTTGAAATAGATTTTTTTTATTTTGGGTTTAGAGCGAAACCTTTTACAATATAGAATTATGCTTCCGAACGCAGTCTTACATTAACGTTATTTTAACACGAAGGTAGATCATATTTAGACTATATAAATACAAATATTACCTTATCACAGGTAACGTTTAACGAAACTAGAAATAGATATATTTGTATTGATATATCAACTGAAAAATATGCTTTTATTTAAGACGTATGTAGATGAGTGTGTGTGCAAAGCCCAGCTTAGGCATGGGTGGTTTATATACAACTTTTAAACTGTAAATATCCTGTGGAATTAGCCTTGAGATTATTCTTGTAGAATGAAAATTAAATATATTTTGTGAATAAACATTAGTCTTCATTAGCCCAGTCGGAGCAGAACAGTAGGATGTTAAACCCCATTTGATGCTTATTTCACGTGTTACGGTCTATATCACAAGTGTCCTTCAAATTTAAAATGAGGAGCAGAACAGTAGGGCGTTAAACCCCATTTCATTTTATTCCATTTCATATTCAAAACAATAAGTACATATGTATTAAACAGCACGCAGCGTGGATTGAACTTCTAGGTGATATAATTGGGTTCTTGTCAAAACATGATGAGATAATTATATTTATAGCCCCCACTTTCTCTTCGCTCTTATTCTAGGTCGATCTAATCGACGTAGGTGTCTTAACGCTCTTAACGAAAATTTCGGAGTTAAATATTCCTAGTTATTATTCTCGTATTCAGGGGCGGATCCAGGATTTTTTTGCAGGAGGGGGTTTGCCAGGCTCCTGTTAAAGAAATATGTCAGCTGACAATTATGTATAATGCCATCATCGTCTACAAATTACCTAGGCATACATACACATTGAGCTTTTTAAAGCGAAAAATCCAACACCCACTTTAACCTCAATTTTTATAACGAATTAATAGGATGACATTGTGATTCAATTTCATTGATGCAAAGCATTAATTGTGATATCACATTATTTTGTCTGTCTATATCATTATCTCGTGCTTTGAATGCCCATCCCATCCCACCATCGGATGATAAAGGATAAATCACACGACCGTTACACTTTACTCATAAAAAGTTTTGTTTTAAAATCTTTGTTATGTAGCTGAGTAGGGTGGGGTTTGGACCCCCCCCCACCTCCCCTTGGATCCGCCCCTGCTATTACTTGTAATATATGAAATAAAAACTTACGAACGAGTTGCATCCTTTCTTCATCTCATCTTTTCAGCTAAATCTTCCTACTTATTATACATGTATTATTTGTATAAAATAAAAAAAGGCAACAAACTTACGCACGAGTTGCATCCTCTCCTAATCTCATCTTTACACCCATCTAACTACTGATAAATATACCAAGCAATGTTTACAGTCAAATTGTTACTCACAATACGTGAAATTAAATGTAAAAATAAAAGCTTCACTTCAAACGAAAAACATATTACCCTTGTTATAGGGATAAATCTATTTGTTAAGGCCAGCTCAATTTTTGCCAAGGTTGGCGAGATTAGGTTAGGTTTAGGATAAGCATTGGGGCTAGGTTAGGGTTAGGGTAAGCATTAGGACTAGGTCCAGGGTTAGGGTATGACTAAGGATATCTAAAGTCTGATACGTCCATGTTCCTAAGCGAGATTATCTAATATTGGTCTGATTCCAATTTCTAACTCAGGGGCAAATAACTCGTCTAAAACCGATTCTCTTTTAGTAGATATAATAATACCAAGGTGAGAAACGGACTGGAATTAAATAATTCAGATCAAAGTTCACTACTTTAGCTTCCGTCAACCAGTAGCAATACTCACTAATTTTCGCTAGATAGACAATCGAGTCTACGATTACGTTTAAAAATTATCCACGTGAATTAAAGAAGGTCTCGTGGATAATTTTATAAAGTGGGTGGGAGGGAGTGTCCTTATCGTAGTCACTAGAGAGATAGAGAATCTTGAAACCTGGAATTGAAGGTCAGATGATTTGGGACTTCGTAATATATTAATATTCCTTTGTGAGAACTAGAAAGATATTAATCCTCGCTTTTCCCTTCATTCTAATCCAAGGGTGTCGGGCGGCCGAATGGTTTAACGCTTGCGCTTTAGATCATAAGGTCTGTCATTGAGTCCAGTGGTGTGTTTTGTTAAATATACGCTTCTACATTACAATAATTAGGGTCACCTGTCCAAATTCTTGGGTTTTCTCCGCCCCCATCAACGGCGCCCACCCGCTGCTAAACACCCTGGTCGCAGGCGTATTATTGAAATAAAATTGAAACATATGTTAGTCCTGAAATGATCTAGTCTGTGGACGTTTAAACCCCCCCTCTCTCTCTCTCTCTCTCTCTCTCTCTCTCTCTCCCCAATCATGGTTTCCTAATAGCACAAGCAAGCACTACTAAATATTATACTAAATATAAATCACCGGTACTTACACTAAATACATTGTATTTCTTATTGATATGATAAAAAAAAAGACCCGACTTTTCCAGTTTACAAAGAAAGGCGATAAACCTGATTATGTCTGACGAGCCCCGAGGACATGGGCGTCACACATGGGGGGGGGGGGGGGTCCGGGGGGGGTAGGTCCGACCCCCCATTTGTTTTTCGGGGGGGGGGGGGTCTGAATATACTTGGACCCCCCAAAATTTACATAGTAGGCCCTAACTCCTATTTATTTACAACAATTATTAGGATTAGTAAAGATTCTATCTGTATAAAACCTGTACATATCCCAATATGGTTTACATTGCTAAAATAAAACACAGAGATAATCATCCTGGAAACATATGTGAAGTGAAAAGTACCTGTGTTCCATAAAATTCTGTCTAGTTAGCCTGTCAATAATATTTTGTTAATTTTTTTCTGCCACTTATCAGAGTGAATTACATGTAGGTACCCAAAAACAATACCACCTAAACCAAATATTTATCGCCCGCTCAGCCAGCAACGTAACCATAATGCTTTTGCACACGGTGTCTTGGTAGACAGCATGGCCACATGGTGTTTGTTTATATTTTTTAGGGGTTTTAAAAAATGGGTTAGGGTTAGGGGTTAGGGTTGCGCCCCCCCCCCCCAATATATATTTCACGGCTACGCCTCTGCCCGAGGAAGAACGATCAAAGTCACCTTTTCAACGAACCCCAGTTAATGGCGCCATCTGGTAGCAAATTGTATAAGCTTTCTGTGGAACAATCAATTTCAGGTAAAAACGATCGGAGTCACATCGAAACAATGCCCTTCTGAAATGGCCTCCCGGAAAAATACGTCCATCGTACCCTTTATTTGACCTTAATTTGGCTGAAAAATGGAAGTCAGTTGTTGTACTGGTAATTATGATTCGTATTAAACATCATTTTGAAGTTGTAATTAAACCACTCGTTGTTCTGTTCGCGTCAAGCATTCTCGTCCAAAAGTCTGTTTTGCCTTTTATGCGAATAGATAAAAATTACCGGTATTTACTCCAAAAATGTATAGTATTTATTGATAACATGAAAAACGACATGACTCCAAGTTTACAAAGAAACAGGTATGTATGTAAGTTGACTATGTCTAGGCCCGTTCAACATGTTAACCAGATTTCGTTAGTAAAGTAAAAACTTATAAGTGACAAGTCTTGACCCAGATCTTTAAATATATTTACACATGCTTACAATATAATATCTATTAATCTTTTTTAAAGTAGTTCATCGTCTTGAAACAAACTTTAAAAACAAATAATACACGGACTATTCGACAGGCGTTATGCAAGAGCTAAATTTACCTATTGTAGATCTTTTTTAGGCCTTAAATGTTATCTAAATTATTAGACATTAATTACTTATATGAAGACAATAATCAACTGTCGATGCCATCGGATGGCTCCGATTTTAAGTTGTTCATCAGCTTGAAACAAACATTAAAAACAAAAAATGCACGAACTATTCGACAGGCGTTAAGCAAGAGCTAAATCTACCTATTGCAGGTATTTTTTAGGCCTTAAATGTTATATAAATTATTAGACATTAATTACTTATACCAAGACCATAATAAACTCTCGATGCCATCGGTTGGCTCCGATTTTAAGTAGATTTAATTACGTTTTGCGGTTGATGATTTAACGTAAAAATGGATAATCAAGACTTAGTTTATTATCGTAACAATTGAGGGGGGTTGGATACGGTCTGTCATTGAGTCAGTTGGCTGGGTTTCGATTCCCCGGTTGTACGTGACAAGGAGTAGGGTCGCCTGTCCAACCTCGTGGGTTTTCTCCGGGTCCTCCGGTTTCCTCTCACTGCTAAAGACCCCTACGCGCGGGCGAATTATTGAAATAAAAAAATTAAACCATATGTTAGTCCCGAAATGACCGAGTTTGTGTCGAGTGGACAAACCCCATCTCTCTCTCTCTCTCTCTCTCTCTCTCTCTCTCTCTCGTAACAATTGTATCAATGACAATCGAGGCTACATTGTAATTATCTCGCAGATAATTGGCTCAGAGTGAAGTCATTTGACTGACATTTTCAACATATTCCATTTTCATTATCTATGTTTTAACTATTAAACTATAGCGAGGGTTGTCAACTGTTTATCAAATATTACATAATACCACATTAAGTTGAGCTTTGTTTGAATAGCTTTTCTTTTTATTCCGTTATTGGTGTGGGAGTAAGACACAGGGGCCTGTTTCACGAAATTTTAACTAAGTTAAAATCCAAATTTTAGTAATTTGATTGGATAATATTAGATTGATTTTAGTGCTTAGCCAATCAAAATTGAAATATCTACTAAAATTTGGATTTTATCTTTAGTTAAAATTTCGTGAAACGGGGCCCTGGTCTCTTAACCTTGAGGTCCCGGGAGGTGGCCGTAGAAATTCCTCTGGAGAGATGGGGTTTAACGTCCACTAGACACAAACTAGGTCATTTCGGGACTAACATATGGTTCAATTTTATTTCAATAATTCACTTGCGCGTAGGGGTCTTTAGTAGTTGGAGGAAACCGAAGGACCCGGAGAAAACCCACGAGGTTTGACAGGCGACCCTACTCCTTGCGTCACATACAACCGGGGAATCAAAACCACGCCAGTTGACTCAATGACAGACCTTTTGATACAGTGCGCACGTGCTAACCATTCGGCAAACCAACCCCCCAACGACCCAAATGGTCATCCATTGTTGTTGTTGTTTTTTTATTTGTAATATTCATAGCGTATAAATTTATTCTTATTAGAAACGACCTTCAAGTTATTCCTCCATTCATAATGACTTGTTTATGTTATATGATTTGATTATTGTGGTCGTTGACCAGGATATTAACTATACAACTGTTATGGTACACGACACAAGAGGTCCCTGTTTATTCATTTAGATCTAAATATTAAGGCTACCTGCAGATTTTGTCAAGGTAACGAGATGTAAATAGGGTTCATCCTACCCTGCTGGACCGGCAAATGTGAGGCGAATGGGTGCCGACATGGGTTCGATTCCCGCAAGGGTTAACAAATGTTAGACCCACGGCCCGTGTTTTCTGGGGGGGGGGGGGGTCTGCAAAGAACCCGCACCTCCCGATAACCCTAACCCGAATCCCAATCCTTCTCCTTTACAGTTACCCTAACCGACAATCTCATCAACAATCACGTGCCCTAACCCTATTTACATCTCGAGACCATGACAAAATCTGCAGGCGGCCTTAATGTTTAGACCTGACTCTATATTCATACAATATTGGATAAGCATTTGAAATGATTTGGGGCTTGTTTGTTTGTGTGTACCGTCTTCGTTAGCCCAATTGAAGCAGAATAGTTGGACATTAAAACGCAGTTCATATCATTTTTGTTTACTTGTGGTATGTTAATACGGAAGCGTGACCTACCGATAATGTTTGTAATCTGTATCTGGACAGCTTGAATTGGAGTATTTTCGTTCTTTCTATATGAAACTGGTCGAGGAATATTCATTGACTTGGAGAATGATAATCTAAAAACAATAACGTAGGTATTTAAAAACAAATACAAACGGTGTGTATAGTTTGGGCGTAACCATGGAAACGTAAATTTAAAAATAATCTAGATGAATAATTTCAGTACTTTTTTTTTGATTGGTTGCAATCGGGCTTATACGCATCCCTTTTGAATCTGAAGACACGGGGCCTTTTGCTAAATTATTGAAATGAAATTGAACCATATGTTAGTCCCGAAATTATCTAGTTTGTGTCGAGTGGACGTTAAACCCCATTTCTCTCTCTCTCTCGCGGTTTTTTCCCCACTGTAAAAGACCCCTATATCTTATCTTCTATATATATATTTGTGACTGTCGTTTGTCTGTCTGTCTGTCTGTCTGTTCGGGGTTGGCGGCTACACTAGGTCTGCCCCGAGTCTGAAATTTGGGGTATAGGGGTAACTCGGACCGGGGAGTAACATAGGCCAGGTGGCGTTAGTCTACCACTTCCGGTTTCGGAGTTATGACCCCCGAGCGAAGTCTGTCTGTTCGGGGTTGGCGGCTACATCTGCCCCGAGTCTGAAATTTGGGGTATAGGGGTAGCTCGGACCGGGGAGTAACATAGGCCAGGTGGCGTTAGTCTACCACTTCCGGTTTCAGAGTTATGACCCCCGAGCGAAGTCTGTCTGTTCAGGGTTGGCGGCTACATCTGCCCCGAGTCTGAAATTTGGGGTATAGCGGCAGCTCGGACCGAGGAGTAACATAGGCCAGGTGGCGTTAGTCTACCACTTCCGGTTTCGGAGTTATGACCCCCGAGCGAAGCCGGTCTGTTCGGGGTTGGCGGCTACACTTGGTCTGCCCCGAGTCTGAAATTTCGGGTGTAGGGGTAGCTCGGACCGGGGAGTAACATAGGCCAGGTGGCGTTAGTCTACCACTTCCGGTTTCGGAGTTTTGACCCCTGAGCGAAGTCTACCACTTCCGGTTTCGGAGTTATGACCCCCGAGCGAAGTCTATCTGTTCGGGGTTGGCGGCTACATCTGCCCCGAGTCTGAAATTTGGGGTATAGGGGTAGCTCGGACCGGAGAGTAACATAGGCCAGGTGGTGTTAGTCTACCACTTCCGGTTTCGGACCCCCCGAGCGAAGCCGATCTGTTCGGGGTTGGCGGCAACACTAGGTCTGCCCCGAGTCTGAAATTTGGGGTACTACTTCCGGTTTCGGAGTTAAGACCCCCGAGCGAAGCCGGGTATCCTGCTAGTATCTGCATATTATTGAAATACGATTGTACGAAAAATAAGAACCAATTTGACTAGTTTGTTTTGGTCTCTGGATCCGCCCTTGCTTTATATCATAAGTCAAGTTTCGTGGTTTCAATTCCCCACGGTGGTATCATTCCGTTCTACTGTTATTGAAATTTAACTGGACCATATTTTAGTCTCAAGCGAATTAGTGAAATAAAATTAAACCATATGTTAGACCCGAAATGACCTAGTCCTCCCCCCCCCCCGCTCGCTCTCTCTCTCTCTCTCTCTCTCTCGCTCTTTCTCTCTCTCTCTCTCTCTTTTTATTTCATGCATTCATTGTACTTATCATTTGTAACAACTGTTAGCTATGAACAAGATATTGTTTGTCGTCTATTATTGACGTTATGAATGGTTTATCCTGGTGTACACGATAGTGTGTTACAATAGTCTAGTGTTCTTATATCTCTATGTGCCACTTATCAAATACCACTTATCTTTTCCCGTGTTACAGATTAAATCTTATATTCAAACAGCCTGATTAAAATACACATCCTACTTCATTTCGTTTCGTTTTGTAGTTCTAAATAATTTTGTTTTACGTGTGTTCACTGCACTAGTATCTGGAAGAGTTGTTAAAGGGGCGTAGTGAAACTGTCCGTTTTGTTTATTTGTATTTTAATTCCAATGAGATTTAAAATTGGAACTCCTGGTAAATGAGATAAGGGAGAGAGAGAGAGAGAGAGAGAGAGAGAGAGAGAGATGGGGGTTAACGTCCACTCTACACAAACTAGGTCATTTCGGGACTAACATATAGTTCAATTTTATTTCAATAATTCGCTTGCGCGTAGGGGTCTTTAGCAGTGGGAGGAAACCGGAGGACCTGGAGAAAACGCACGCGGTTGGACAGGCGACCCTACTCCTTGTCACGTACAACCGGGGAATCAATGACAGACCTTATGATACAGCGCGCACGTGCTAACCATTCCGCCATCCACCCCCCACCCCCCTACGAGATAAGGGAAACGAAACGAAGTTTAACGTCCTACAAGGCCATGCGCCATACAGTGTGCGCTATGGTCTATTCGTATATCGAATTCCAATAGCCAACGGATCTTTTACGTGCACGGCGATATGTACACGGGATCTCGGGTTTTCGTCCCATCCGAACGAGTAGACATCTGTTCGTATCAGGCCCTCCACCCTGCACCACTGACACGTTTTTAGGGGTATCACTGGTTGGTCAGCATTAACTAAGTATTGTTGTGTACATGTATATATTGTCTTGTTATAGATCATATTTTATCATTGCTTGATAATGACTAGAGAAACCTAGCCGAAACGTCGCTCAGTAATAAGCAGTAATTGTCTTCTAGTGTGACCTGTATACTCCAGTTCAATTACTAAATGCCACTGAAACAATTTGCCTGTTCCAATTTTCATTAGACGTTTATTGCAGGTCTTTCTTTAGGCCTGAAATGTTATATAAATTATTAATTAGACATTAATTAACTTATACAGACAATACTCAACTCTCGATGCCATCGCTTGTCTGCGATATTTAGTGGATTTGAATACATGTTTTGAAAAATAATTAAATTTAAAAATTGATAATCGAGACTTTGTTTTTTTATCGTACCGACTTAAGTTATGATGATCGAGACTAGCCTAAAATTCAAAAGCTAATATCTCGGTTCAGGGTGGAGCAATTTGACTGAAATTTCCAGCATATTACGTCGTCTTTTTTAAAACTATTATAGTGAGAACTGTCAACTCTTTATCTAATCTCCCATAACGCCCCTTTAAATGGCGCTAAATGTCTCTGACAGTGGATACTGTTTTATTGTATGGTCTACAAGATAAACATGTGGTATAGAATATGAGTAGGGTAAATCTATTCATATAAAGTCTACACGACGAGCAGTTGTAATTCTCAATTAAAAGGACTACATATACATCATTTCACGCCGTCTGGATTTTCTTTTTGTAATCTCAAACGGCGTATAATGAACCACCATCGGTGTTATTATACACAAATTTAAGACGATATCCCGCGGCTATTTTCGTTTCGGTGTTCTATTTGGTATCACATTATTTGCTCATATTTGGAAATGAAACGTCTAATCGTTTTTTATATTTCAAAATTTCGTTTTACATGTGTTTACTGCACTAGGATCTGGAAGAGTTATATAACCCGCGAAATGAAATGAAATGAATTTATGGTTTTGAACGTCCAATCTGATTAAAACACAGATCGTATTTCGTTTCTTTCTCATAGTTCAAAATTTCGTTTTACTTGTGCTTACCTCACTGGGATCTTATTAAAACACAGATCGTATTTCGTTTCTTTCTCATAGTTCAAAATTTCATTTTACTTGTGCTTACCTCACTGGGATCTGGAAGAGTTGTTATATAACCCGCGAAATGAAATGAACTATGGATAAACCACTAGAAACATCAACGCTGATTGATTAATCAATATCTGACTCATAGGGTCAAAAGCCGATTGATTGAACCCTGACGCGACCTTACACTACAACCGGTCAGATCTTCGTGTAGTAAAGTTTATCGAAAGTATGAAAAACGAAACGAAATATAGATCTGTATTTTAATAGGATTGTTTAACGTCCTACTGGGCGAATGTAGACGGGCATACCGTGTGCTATGAGTGAAATTTTATGGCCTATTTTTATATCGTACTCTCTCTCTTTCTCTCGCTCTCTCTCTCTCTCTCATTAATGTCAATAATTGTTATTCTTTTCTCACATAATAGTGATAGTATTGTAGTTCTTCCGTGTACCAAAGCCTGCGGAAAAATTGAAATGAAATGGCAGGGCTAATGAAGACGAACATACGCTTTGCAGTATGTCATATCTTTGCCCGAACACTGTCTTCCCCCTATTCGTTCCCGAATTTAAACTGCGTACACGGGACCTCCGGCTTTTTACCCGCCCCAATGATAAGTTTCCTTGCCTAGCTCCCCGTCATGTACCACTGACAACAGGAAACCAAGCAGGAAATATCATAATCTTTAAGTGGCATTTAGCGATTGGGTAACACATTAATAGAACATCATTTTTATGGGAAACAATCGCTGGTTTTATTCTAAAAGCACGACGTTTCGACAAGTATCCTCTTGTCGTTATCAAGCACAATGACATTAACTCTTATATATTAAGAGGATACTTGTCGAAACGTCGTGCTTTTAGAATCAAAACAGTGATTGTTTCCCATAAAAATTGTATTCTGTTACTGGAAATATCAGTTAATACAAGGATCGAGTCTGGGATCTACTGGTAAATGAGACGGGGCTATACTGTAGAACAGTAAGACGTTAAATGAAATGAAATGAAATGGGGTTTAACGTCCTACTGTTTCGCTCCTATACTGGGCTAATGAAGACTGGCATACGCCATACAGTGTGCTATGAGAGAAATTTTGCCCGGGCAGCGGCACTACGGCCTACTCTTATATCGAATTCCAACTGCCAAGGGATCTTTTACGTGCACGCCAATATGTGCACGGGACCTCGGTTTTTCGTCCCATCCGAACTGCTAGACAGCTGTCCTTGTCAGGCCCTCCGCCCTGCATCACTGACAAGGCGAAACCACGCCGGAAAATCTGGATGAACTTTCTCGGTCAATGCAGGGATCGAACAAACGACCTCCAGGCTAGTGAGCCAGCGTCTTACCCACTTAGCCACGTGATCCCTAGTAAGACGTTAAGCCCCATTTCATTTTTGGAATAAAATTGGTTTGTATGATTTTTTTTAATAGTGGGTTAATTTCCATAGCATTGATAGAAATTAATGAAATGGTTTTATATTATATATTACAGATACCATGGCTAGGCTTGTGGTGAAGATGCTGGTTTGTTTCACCTTGGTTAGTGTTTCGAGGTCAACATCCGTACAGAATGATGAAGCACCTAAAGCAGCGGGCATTAGAAACATCGGTGTTCAACAGCGACATAATAGCCTGCAAGGCGGTAGAGACGATAATGGTTTAAAATCCGGATACATCCAAGATCAATCGCTTTTAGATAACGGAGAATATTTTCGTAATCAGCATCGACATAAGAATACAAAGCATCAGAATACTTTATGGAAATACCACAAAGTTCCTGAAAATGCAAAACATTTAAGCCAACACGGCGACGTCACAAAAGAACGAATTGTAAATAATTATGTCAGTTTATCTGGTCAACCCATATTATACAAACTGAACAAAAAGAAATCGTCAAGTGAAGATCTTTTAACAGGGGTTCGGGATACTGCCCAAGGCCACAGTCGTAATAGAGGCAGACATAGACACGATCATGGGAGAGGGGATTCCAAAGACACAATAGCGTCGTCACGATCTCGTGGGAGAAAGCACAGAATAGCGTCACAATCTCGTACAATAGAGGATTCCCCGACATCAGCAGATGAACTCTTGGACAGTAGACGCATAGGTCGCGGTGGACCCCGGAGAGTTATCCAGATACTGAATGTTACGAAACTGGATCAGCCCGAATCACACGACAGGAATTCGGAAAATATCATAAACTGGATAAATCCTACTGTTACACAAACCCCAGCAATTGATGACAAAAGGAGAATTCAAAATGAAGAAAGGGTAGATCCACGACGCGCTCAGACTAGAACAGATCCCAGACGAATAACAAATAGGGAAGATCCAACACGAACAGGAAACAGAGATGATCCAAGACACACTGGAAACACATATGGTCCAAGACGAACCGAAAATAGACAGGATCCCAGACGAAACGACAATAGAGTGGATCCGAGGAGAACAGATCCCAGACGAATAGAAAATAGAGTGGATCCGAGGAGAACAGATCCCAGACGAATAGAAAATAGGGAAGATCCAACACGGACAGGAAACAGAGATGATCCAAGACGTACTGGAAACACATATGATCCAAGACGAACAGAAAACAGACAGGATCCCAGACGAACCAAAAATAGAGTGGATCCAAGACGAAATCAGACTAGAGCAGTCCCCAGGCGAATAGAAAATAGAGAAGATCCTAGACGAACAGAACACATACAAGATCCAAGACGAACAGAACACATACAAGATCCTAGACGAACAGAACACATACAAGATCCTAGACGAACCGAACACATACAAGATCCTAGACGAACAGAACACATACAAGATCCTAGACGAACCGAAAATAGAGAAGATCCCAGACGAACAGAACATAGAGTTGACCCAAGACGAACAGAAAATAGACAAAATTCTAGGCGAACGGAAAATAGAGTGGACACAAGACGAACAGACAATAGAGTTGACCCAAGACGAACAGACAATAGAGTTGACCCAAGACGAATAGAAAATAGAGAAGATCCACGAACAGAGATAAGAGTGGGCTCAAGAAGAACAGATCCCAGACGAACTGAAAATAGAGAGGACCCAAGGCGAACAGATCTCAGACGAACAGAAAACAGAGTGGATCCTAGACGATCACATCCCAGGCGATACGATTCAAGACGAATAGAGAGTGCAGTAGACCTTAGAAAAACATTGGGTAGAGTGGACCCAAGACTAAATGAAGATAGACTGGATCCGAGACGACCAGAAAACAGACAGGACCCTAGACGAACAGAAAACAGGCAGGATCCTAGCCGATCACATCCCAAACGATATGATTCAAGACGAACAGAGAGTGAAGTAGACTTTAGACAAACTTTGGGTAGAGTGGACCCAAGAGTAAATGAAGATAGACTGGATCCGAGACGATCAGAAAACAGGCATGATATTAGACGAACAGAAAACAGAGTGGATCCGAGACGAACAGAAAACAGAGTGGATCCTAGACGAACAGAAAACAGAGTGGATCCCAGACGAACAGAAAACGGGCAGGATCCCAGACGAACAGAAAACAGGCAGGATCCCAGACGAACAGAAAACAGAGTGGATCCTAGACGAACAGAAAACAGAGTTGACCCAAGACGAACAGACAACAGGGCGAATCCAAGACGAACAGAAAACAGAGTGGACCCAAGACGAACAGAAAACAGAGTTGACCCAAGACAAACAGCAAATAGAGTAGACCAAAGACGAACAGCTCCAAGACGAATTGAAAATAGAGTGGACCCAAGACAAACAGAGTCCAGACGAAACGATTCAAGACGAACAGCCCCAAGACGAACGGAAAATAGAGTGGACCCAAAACCAACAACAAATAGAGTTGACCCAAGACTAACAGAAAGTAGAGTGGACCCAAGACGAATTGGAGATAGGCAGGATCCCAGACGATCAGAAAACAGACAGGATCCTAGACGATTAGAAAACAGACAAGATTCTAGACGAAATGAAGATAGACAGGATCCTAGACGAACAGAAATCAGACAGGATCGCAGACGAACAGAAAACAGACAGGATCCTAGATGGACAGAAAACAGACAAGATCCTAGACGAACAGAAAACAGGCAGGATCCCAGACGAACAGAAAACAGACAGGATCGCAGACGAACAGAAAACAGACAGGATCCTAGACGAACAGAAAACAGACAAGATCCTAGACGAACAGAAAACAGGCAGGATCCCAGACGAACCGAAAACAGACAGGATTCTAGACGAACCGAAAACAGAGTAGATCCTAGACGCATAGAAAACAGACAGGATCCTAGAAGAATTGAAAACAGACAGGATTCTAGACGAACTGAAAACAGAGTAGATCCTAGACGCATAGAAAACAGTCAGGATCCTAGAAGAATTGAAAACAGAGTGGATACTAGAAAAACTGAAAACAGACAGGATCCTAGAAAAACTGAAAACAGACAAGATCCTAGACGAACAGAAAACAGGCAGGATCCCAGACGAATAGAAAACAGACAGGATCCTAGACGCACAGAACACAGACAGGATCCCAGACGAAGAGAAAACGGGCAGGATCCCAGACGAATAGAAAACAAACAGGATCCAAGACGAACAGAAAACAGACAGGATCCTAGACGAAGAGACAGCAGACAGGATCCCAGACGAACAGAAAACAGACAGGATCCCAGACGAAGAGACAGCGGACAGGATCCCAGACGAATAGAAAACAGACAGGATTCCAGACGAACAGAAAACAGGCAAGATTCCACACGAACAGAAAACAGACAGGATCCCAGACGAAGAGAAAACATGCAGAATCCCAGACGAACAGAAAACAGGCAGGATCCCAGACGAACTGGTCCAAGGCGAACAGAAAATAGAGTTGACCCAAGACGAATAGAAAATAGAATTGAACCAAGACAAACAGAAAATAGAGAAGATCCTAGAAGAGGTGGTGTCAGTAGGAATTCTAGGCGAACCCAGACAATAAGTGGACGTGGGCAAGTGCAGGACTATGATGGAACAGATCACGGAAGAACTCAAAGTAGAGATAGGGTAGATTCTGGGAGAGCTGAAAGTGTGAGTGATAGAGATGGCAGGATAGTCCGTGATAGAAATAGAGATCGAGTAGACGACACCGTTTCAAGAAGAACTCAAAGTATCGACGGGACGGATCCAAGAAGAACTCATAGTATCGACAGGCCGGATCCCAGAAGAAATCAAAGTAGTAGCCGCATTGATGAGAATAGAGTAGATCGTAGACGGCAAACTGGTTATGTTTATGGTACTATACCTGGAGGTCCTTTAGGCATACGTAGAAATGTATCTGGACCTGGAGGTGCTATACCGGGAGGTGTTTTATATGATGCTATACCCGGAGGTCCTTTAAACGTACGTGGTACTGTACCTGGACCTGGAGGTGCTATAACCGGAGGTGTTTTATATGGTGCTATACCTCAAGGTCCGCGTGGTGCCATACCAGGGGGGTCTTTGTCTGGACCTGGGGGTCCGTTATCTGGTGCGATACCTGGAGGTCCGTTATCTGGTGCTATACCTGGGGGTCCCTTGGGATCACAGAGATCATATATTTCACAATCTTATGTTATCAGTCGTGTGTATAAAAATGGGCGTGGTCGACCAATAGAAACAATTATAGTGGATCGAAATGGGCGTGGTGTTATCATTGGAGGTAGTTTAGATAGGAGGGCAAGACGAGGCCTATAAATATATCAAGTTAATAAATCAATCTATTTCCGGAAAGATGGATGATAGGCATTATAATTGGTTCTGACACGTCTTGATATTTTGGAGTAGCGTTTTTTTATAGATGAACTGGTTCGCAAGAGATCGTTAAGTTCAAATAGGTCTGGGTACCTCAAAGTTCAAGGTCTGACAAGATATAATCGTTCGCATTAATTTTATGAAACGGTTTCAGTATGACGAATTCAACAGTTAGATCAGGTGTCTCGTGATATTGTGAAAACAGGTTATTGTTCTGAAAGGTGTTCAAATTGTGTTAATGATTCAATCAGCCCAACTTGCCCAATTCCGTCTTTCCAAATTCAAGGGCAGACAATTTACGGAAACGGACATCTTGTTTTGAAAGATTGAGTCGATTCGTAATGGAATAATGTAGATGTATAATGAAGTTGTCAAACAGACATATTGTACCACGTGTGAAACGTTATTGATATTGATTGATACAATACTTATTGAATTATTCCACTTGAAAATAGTGGACTCTTTTTTTTCTGGAATAATGTATATAAGACAAATAACAGGGAACCTCGCTGTGTATTCTGGATAGCACATATCAAAAATAAAGACGTTTTAATGAAGACGTAATAATGCTCTCAGACAGTGGGGTTATTGTTTAAACTACTTAATTTGTTTATTCTTTTTTTTACAAACTTATACATTCATTTTGCAAGAGCTAAATCTGCCTATTGCATGGCTTTCTTTAGCCCTTAAATGTTATCTGAATTATTAATCAGACATTAAACATACGTTATGCAAGAGCTAAATCTGCCTATTGCAGGTCTTTCTTTAGGCCTGAAATGTTATATAAACTATTAAACATACATTATGCAAGAGCTAAATCTGCCTATTGCAGGTCTTTCTTTAGGCCTGAAATGTTATATAAACTATTAAACATACATTATGCAAGAGCTAAATCTGCCTATTGCAGGTCTTTCTTTAGGCCTGAAATGTTATATAAACTATTAAACATACATTATGCAAGAGTTAAATCTGTCTATTGCAGGTCTTTCATTAGGCCTGAAATGTTATATAAACTATTAATTAGATAGCTTGAGATATTTACTGGATTTGAAACCGATCTGCCGCTCAAGCCTCATTGGTGATTAAATCCAAAAATGGATAACCGAGACTATGTTTTTGAACGTAACGACTTTAGTAATGATGATCGAGGCTAGGCCGAAAATTCAAAATCTCGGTTCAGAGTGGATCAATTTGACTGAAATTTTCAGCAAATTCCCTTTACATTACCTAGTGTTTAACTATTATAGTGAGTACTGCCATGCTCTTTATATAATCTCCCATAATGTATCTTTAAATAAAGTAACATATCCCTACATTATGTAGTATTTAAAGTAGCTAAGTCAAAATCATCAAAAATCTTCGACATTGAAAACACGATTTATTTGTGGGTTTAAATCAACATCTTACCGGGAAAAGATGTGCTTCTGATATCCAATATTTAAGACAAAACAACCATTTTACAATTGGTACACTAATCGTGTACCATAATGCGTTTCAGTGCTATTTGTAATAAGGGAATCGAAAACGAGGCTAGGCATATTCCACAAGTCATGTCAAACGGTGACGCTATATTCTTACCTGGAGAGCATGCCCAATAAATACTATCGGCGTAGACTGGAATAACCAGAAGCTAGAGATTGAAATTCGATTGAGAATACTGGCGTATTTCGCCGAACCTGACGGATTAGAAATTACAGTAAAAACAGAAAAGATTGAATGTAGGCCTAAATCAATTTATATACATTCATATTACATTACATTAGGGGATCACGTGGCTAAGTGGGTAAGACGCTAGCTCGCTAGCCTGGAGGTCGGGTGTTCGATCCCTGCATTGGCCGAGAAAGTTCATCCAGATTTTCCGGCGTGGTTCTCCCTTGTCAGTGATGCAGGACGGAGGGGCTGACAAGGAAAGCTGTCTAGTCGTTCGGATGGGACGAAAAACCGAGGTCCCGTGTACACATTGGCGTGCACGTAAAAGATCCCTTGACAGTTGGAATTCGATATAAGAGTAGGCCGTAGTGCCGCTGTCCGGGCAAAATTTCCCTCATAGCACACTGTATGGCGTATGCCCGTCTTCATTAGCCCAGGTTAGGAGCAGAACAGTAGGACGTTAAACCCCATTTCATTTCATTTTCATATTACATTAATTGTATGTGTTGTGACCCATTTGTGTCAATTTCTAGGTCCCAAATATTAGCGACTTAGCTCCTTTAACTATTATAGTGGGAACTGCTAGCTCTTTATCTAATATCCCTTAATGCCCCTTTAAATAATCTTCTTTTCTCGAATTTCTGAGTACTGAGTGTCGGGTGGGTAGTGGGGGCGGCATACAATCAAGGAGATCAAGAAATTAGCAAGGGCATCTATAATTCACTATTGCCAGTTGAGAAATTGGCAAAAATATCATTTTCAACTTCAAATTCAAATGTTTGAAGATACTATTCCATGGGGGGAATAGAAAAACAAGGGAGGTAATTGTGTTAATATTTCCGGGGTCAAAGGATTTTTAAGTGGGAGAATAATATCTATGATCGTATAATAGTGAGTTGACAACCTGCTGAGCAAAAGACATAGAAATAATTATTTTTTGACTTTCTTAGAAATTATGAAATTATCGCTTTAAGATCTTGAGTTATGCCATCCTCGGTATCCGTTCTACTCCACTATACCCTGGGTTCATCCATGGGGTATTCACCTATTCAAATTCTCCGCCCATGATCGTAGCTTGATTCTACGAACCAATCAAAAACCAATCAGAAATTTAATATAAAAGAAGTGACATGCACACAAAAAAAATGTCCTAAAACATCTTTTTGATGGGAAAGATGTTTTTAGGTCAGTTCTTGTGTACTTGACGATTGATTTAATGATAGGATGGCCATATTGAAACGGCATAACAACAAACAACAAACATTTGCTCCTTTGTGAAAATTAATGTTCATTACATTGGGCAAAATATATGGACAGACGTGTAATTTTATTTTTATTTTCGCTAAAAAACGATTTTAATTGTTTCGTTTCTTCAAATCACAATAATATATTTTTTGTGTGATAAAGGGAAAGTACTCACTTGGCCAGTTTTAGAAATGTATATTAATGTAGATTTCGGTATAGTCGACATTTTTTCAATTCAAATAGTCTATTTTTATATATTTATAATGTTCGGATTTGTGTTCAGACTGCTTCATTCTATGAAACGTAAACAGATGGAAATCTAAACAGACGAAAATGGGTCGAGAAGCATGTAATATAAACTGATTTATATTAAATTTGTTACGTACTTTTATTGTAATTTACTTTCTGTTAAATAACCGAACACTCTACAAGTGTATTAGTGTACATTCTGATTAAAATACAGATCCTATTTCGTTTCGTTTTTATAGTTCAAAATTTCGTTTTACTTGTCTTTACTACACTAGGATCTGGAAGAGTTGTTATATAACCCGCGTTCTGGATAATGTGAGGAATCAATGAAACGGGCTGTTACGGCGTATTTTTGGCGTGAGGTGCCCGGAACTGTGGGCTAGAAACATCAACGCAGAAAGGCGACCCTACTCCTTGTCACGTACAACCGAGGAGAAAGAGAGAGAGAAGTGGGGTTTAACGTCCACTCGACACAAACTAAGGTCATTTCGGGACTAACACATGGTTCAATGTTATTTAAATCATTCGCTTGCGCGTAGGAGTCTTTAGCAGTGGGAGGAAACCGGAGGACCCGGAGAAAACCCATGAGGTTGGACAGGCGACCCAACTCCTTGTCACGTACAACCGGGGAATCGAAACCCCGCCAGTTGACTCAATGACAGACCGAATGATACAGCGCGCGCGTGCTAACCATTCGGCCATCCAACCCCCGGTACAACCGGGGAATCGAAACCACGCCAGTTGACTCAATGACAGACCTTATGATACAGCACGCACGTGCTAACCATTCGACCATTCAACCCCGCCTTTTCCTTTGTGGATCAGCCGTTTTTTAATACTTCCGCATACTCTGATCTCAAGTCTTTTCATTATAAATGGCGATCGAGAGCCCCACGTCGTGAGCTGATTTTAAAATAATATTTTTACTGTCGAATCTTGTGGATACTAGAGTTAGAGCTATACATCCTTTAGTGTTGAATACTGACAAGATAAATGAACAGACTATAATACATTCATTATTGTAGAAGGTCTAGTCTTTCGGATGGGACCAAAAACACGATAAAGTACACGTACAAAACCCCTTGCCAGTTTCAATTCGCACGAGGAGTATGCGGAAACACGATTGTTCACCCATAGCACTGCTAAAGCCCAAGACACAGAGTTTAGTCGTGCGGATGGGAAGATTAGACGAGGTCCCGTAGGGACAGGAAAGGATGCTGTATTTAACATCTTACTTTCCAATTGGGTTCATGAAATGAAATGGCGTTAAACGTCTTACTGTTCTGCCCCGACTGGGCTGATGAAGGCATACGCCATAGGATACTCTGTGCTATGAGGAAGGTATAATTTCCCTGCCACACAACTAGGCGCTGTTTCTTGGGCTCTCGCCAGTCGTGCGCAACATCAGTCACAAGAAACATTCAACGTTGTTCAGAATGCTTCCAAAACAGAGTTATTTCCCTTTATCTGTATTTTCGCACACCCATTCAATTGGTTTTCCTTCGTACAGGACTGGGGTACACAGTAGTTGGGTCATTTTGAGACAATCGTTTCTATGGTTACGCGGTAGGAGAATATTTTGCACGCACAGTGGCATTTCCAATTACTCTTTACTTCGATTTCCAAGTGTTCTTTTCACACCTTGGTTTAACGTTCTATACGAAGGACTAGGCACACTTTCTTGGACACGTTCCAACAGGCTTAAAAAATCACAAAGGTTTTTCTCGGTCCACATTTTTGTCGAGAGTGCAATGCCCTGACCCCTCGATTCATAATTTGTTTTATATAAACAATTTTTTTATTCAGTAAGTATCTGTATTTGAATTGGGGAACATGCTATGCCTATGTGTAAATCCCTCTCTCTTATATAATTAGATATACACAGCATAAATATATACATACATAACATATAGGATACATACATACAGAACATATAAGATACATATAATAATAATTATTATTATTATTATTATGCATTTATATAGCACCACGTCCATAGTACTGTGCTCCAGTGCGCTTTACAATATAGATATAAAAGAAAATATGAAAATAGAAAAATATAAATACAAAAAGGATAATATCGAGACATTTTTTAAATAAATATATTAGTGGGTAGAAATCTATTTTGAAACATCGTACAATACCTCCAAATCTCACAAACCAGTTGAGCGAGGCGAGGATATTAGATGATTATACCGTGTACAGGGCTGAAAATAACGTAAGAATTGTCTTATGGAGACTTAAATATATTCGATAAATGAATGAATTGTTGAATTTCTTAAAAAAATAAGTGTGTTTCTAAGTTTTGTTGAGCCATGGAACAGACAACTGATCTTATGGAGACTTAAATATATTCGATAAATGAATGAATTGTTGAATTTCTTAAAAAAATAAGTGTGTTTCTAAGTTTTGTTGAGCCATGGAACAGACAAC